AAAAAAAAAAAAATGACTCATCTTGCATTAAAGCAAAAGTTGTGGTCTTGGCAAGAGATTATAATCTAATTATAGTTGTTCAAACTTCAAATTGACATTGGTGATCACCTCTAAAACTTAAACAAATTTAGTTTTCTAGTCAATTGCTTACATCTATATTTGCTTTTTCATGTCCATTTTATCTTCTTTGAAATTACAAACTGTATTGTGTCCCTTTGCCTTTTCAGCTTTACACCCTGTGCACCAAATATAAGCACTATTAAGTAACCAAACAACTACATAGACAAAAATGTGAAAGTTTAATAATACAAAACTGAGATGAAACAAAAGAAAGAAAATGATTGTTTACTGAAGAGAAGGGCCATGTAAGTTTGCTATTGCAGAATGTTTTGTGCCTGTCTCTATACAATGTAGAAAATTGCAATAAAGGATTTCCAAAATTATATAATGGGATCTTTTCCACATTCTTGATTCCTACAAAAAAAAAATTTATTTACCCCTAAAATTGCAATACCTAGATAGAAATCGAAGCTGAAATTGAAAGAGCAATACATTTGGGTCTAAGGAATGTAACCAACCCGAATGGGATATAAATGGCGAGGATTACAACATCCTAGGGTTTCGACAGAGCTGATTTGGGAATTGGTTTGCATCCGGGTCATGGACCCTTTTGGTAGAAATCACACCACGTATTGCTGAATTGTGAAGTTAAGTTTTTCAAATCTAAAATTGCAATACTTAGATAGAACTTAAGTTTTTCAAATCAAATTTTCAGGACAAAAACATTCTAAATTGTCGTGAAGTTAAGATTTTTAATTAAAAATTTTTGGACAAAATAAGTAATGATTAATCTCTAAATAGCATCCCTAAGAATGATATGTGTGCAGTTGTTGCTCACTCTTTTGTGTTACTCAATTTGTTGGGTCACCATAAAGACCAAGGAGAGCAACTTTCTGTTGAGATAAAAGATGTAACCTGAATGCAATGGTAGTTTAGTCTATTTGTGTGTTAACGGATTAGTGAGTTAGTTAGTTAGCTAATGAAGTGAGTGATTGGTTAGTGAGGTGGTTATGTTAGTTAGTAAGTCATGTATATATAGATAGGTTGTACAAATAATGATACACAGAGAATTGATTTTCACAGTTCCATTAATTTTGAGGCTTCTCTCAAAGATAACTGCTCCTCTTCTCTCCTCTCCTCTCCTCTCCTCTCCTCTCCTCTCCCTCGTTAGGTAGGGTTTCTGCTTCATCTCAATCCTCCATTTCAGCATAGTACCAGAGCTCGAGCTATGAATTGAGGCTCGCAAATCGATCATTTGTCTTCTCGTTTGCTCTATCTTCTTTTCTGTATTCTCGAGTCAATTGAGATCTCGATTTTTCTGATTCGAAACTCCAAAGTACTCAACAATGGCGATTGATTATTTGGAACATGAAAATGCAATTGTCACAGTTGAAAATGCATCGTATGCATCCTCCGATGATGAATTTGAGGAAGGTGTTACAGTCGCAGTCACACATCCTCTATATCTAGCTCCTAGCGATACAAGTGAAATTTTATTGGTTTCATTTCAGCTTATTGGCATTGATAGCGACTTCTTATGGTGTCGATCTATGTGTATTGCTTTACTTAGCCGCAATAAATTTGGAATTGTCGATGGCAAGTGGCTAAAAGAGCGTTTTCGTGAGAAGTATTGGTATTAATGGGAAAGATGCAATGCAATTGTGTTGTCATGTTTGATGAATTCAGTTGCACCAACTTTAATCAGTGGTATTGTATGCCACCCGTGCACAGAAAGTGTGAATGGATCTACATGAGCGCTTTGATAAAGTAAATGATATTCGTTGCTACAATTTGCACGAGAAAATTGCTACCTTAAGTCAAGGTACTTGTTTTATCTATGTCTATTATTCAAGGCTCAAGGACCTTTGGGATGAGTTTGAGTCTGTAGTACCCAACCCTGCTGTCAAAGGAATTTGTAGTACATCTACGAAAGCAAAAGGTATATCAGTTTCTAACGGCTTGAATGACTCTTGTTCTCAAGCTCGTAGTCAAATTCTTATGATGAAGCCATTTCCTTCAGTGAACCAAGCATATGCTATGCTCGTGAGTGATGAAAGTCAAAGAGATATAGCTGCTTCTGCCGGAGTTTTAGGACCTTCTCCCATTGTAAATGCACATTATTATGACTCAACTGCACTATATAGTGCTAAGCCTAGTTTCAATCCAAAGTTCAAGAAGAATTATAACATCCAGTGTGAGTTTTGCAAAATGGCCACAATAAAGAAAATTGCTTCAAAATAATAGTTTATCCACCAGATTATAAATTCAAAAAGAAAAGGGGAGTTGGGGCTTATAATGAAATGGTAGAACCTGGGTATATTATGCCTACATACTCCAACCATACCTCCAACCATGTTCCTTAGAATATACCAATGCATCATATGTCTGCATATCAAAGTCACCAGCATGTTATAAGTCAAGGTGATAGCGTATTCTCAGGCACATGGTCATAATGGCCCTCAAGTTCAGGCAGACTCCTCTTCTATACAAGCACAGGGATCGGTAAACACACGGGTGACAATAATATTTTTAGACATAAGCACAATTAAAGAAGTTTTCTATGTACCACAGTTTAAGTTCAACTTATTATTAGTCTCCAAAGTGACAAGAGATCTTAAATTCTTTGCCTCCTTTTATCATGATTTCTTTGTATTTTAGGATCTCTTCAGTGGCAGGGTGAGGAAGATTGGTAAGGAAGAGATGGTATATACTTCCTGCAGAGACATGGTGGTAAGAAGCTCGCTGCAGTCTCCTTAGCTGCTATTGGAATAAAGTCAAGACATGGTGACACTAATGTTAATGTTTCTTTGTGGCATAAAAAAACTAGGCCATGTATCCAGTATTGTTCTTAAAAAACTGTTTACTACCAAACCAACTAATATCAATGACACTATCAATAAATATAATGTATGCCTATGTGTTAAGCAAACCAGGTTTCCATTCCCTTCTAGATGTATTAAGACTACTGTTGCATTTGATCTAATATATCTTGATGTTTGGGGTCCATATAACTATGCAACCTTTGATGGCAATAATTATTTTCTAACAGTTGTTGATGATTTCACTAGGATGACTTGGTTATTTCTACTGAAGCTCAAATCTGATATGTGTGGTATGCTTACTCAACTTGTTGTATTTGTTCAAACTCTGTTTAACAAAACAGTGAAAGCCATCTGGTCAGACAATGGTTCTGAGTTTGTCAACTCTACTTGTAACACTTTATTTCAAAACTATGGCATCATACATACAAAAACCGTACCTATACTCTTTAGCAAAATAGAGTTGTTAAGAGGAAGCACATGCACATCTTAGAAGTCATAAGGGCTTTAAGATTTCAAGCCAATATTCCCATCAAGTATTGTGGTCATTGTATACTTTGTCACGACCCTAAACTCAGACCCGATTGTGATGGCACCTCTCGTGAAGACAAGGCCAGCCGAAACAACACCCAATTTATTTTAAACAATTAAGATAACACAATTTAAGTCATTAACATGATTAAATCCCAAAAGAAGCAGTGAAATAGTATAATTTGCGGAACAAACACAGCCCGACATCGTGATGTCACTAGTCATGAGCATCTAAACATGTGTCTAAGAGTCTGAAAGAGTTTATACAGTCTATTATAGAACTAGAAACAGAAAGTAAGATAGGAGGGAGAAACACTGGGCTGCGAACGCCGATCAGCTACCTAGTGGACTCCGAATGGCCTGCTGGGAGCAATCAACCCTCACTGGCGGGACCTGAAGCTCCTAAATCTGCACACAGGGTGAAGAGAGTAAAGTGAGTACTCCAACTCAGTGAGTAATAAAGATAAATGAAGACTGAGCGATAAGAAATCACGTAAAACACAACAACATACTATAAAGGGGCAGAGTAAAACCAATAAAGTGCAATAAAAGAGTGAAATCTCATAAAACACCTTAGTTCAGTATAAGCTTCTTTAAAACACCTTTTTAACAGCTAAACAAGTAATTAAAAAGCAGCGAGAAAAAATAAACACATAAAATTCGCCCCTCGGGCACAATGTCAACAGAATAAGCCCATCGGGCAATAACATGGAACAACACCATCCCCTTAGGCTATATCACATATCACACTAGGTACCCGCACTCACTGGGGGGTGTACAGACTCCGGGAGGGGCCCCTTATGGCCCAAACGCAATATCAAGCCATCTCGTGGCATAATCAATAGGCTCTCGACCTCATATCAAGCCACCTTGTGGCGTACAACTCAAGCCCTCGACCTCATAATCATGAATCAGTGTGTCATTGCTGCGGCGTGAAGCCCAATCCAAAAGTATCCTCACAACACAGACCCTCGGCCCTACTTAGCCAGAAATCTCTAAAAGCCACTGGGGCATAGTAAAATATGGTGCTTAGCCCAAAATATCATTTAAAGTGTTAAAACAGAGTAAATATGGCTGAGTTATGAAAAACAGCATAATATAGCATGACTGAGTACAGATATAAAATCAAAACAGTGAGGAAATATCATTAAAAATCCCCTAAGAGTCCAAATAGTTGCACAGGGCCCAAATATGGCATTCAGCCCAAAATAGGATGATAGCAAATAGTTTTTAATCAAATACGCGGCAAAACAGTCATTCGGGATGGACTAAGTCACAATCCCCAATGGTGCACGGTCCCACGCTCGTCATCTAGCGTGTGCGTCACCTTAATATAGCACAACGATGTGAAATCTGGGGTTTCATACCATTAGGATAACATTTACAATCATTACTCACCTCTATCTAGTCCGAACTCTAGCCCGCGATGGCCTTGCCCCTCGAATTGGCCTCCGGATGCTCCAAATCTAACCAAAACTAGTACATAACCATCAAAATATGCTAAGGGAATAAAGCCCACTCGAAAGAAATCAAAATACAATGTGAATCCCGAAATTAACCAAACCCTCCCCCTCCCCCCTAGGCCCACATCTCAGAATTCGATAAAATCTATATCAATCAATTCCTTATCTCCCTACGAGTTCATTCATATCAAAGGTACCAAAATCCGACCACAAATGGCCCCTCAAATCCCCAAGCCAAGGTCTCCAATACCAAGCCCTAACCCCCTAATTTTTAACCCTTAATTTCCATTAATCTTAGGCCAAATCAGTAAAATTATGCCATAGGATCAATTATTAGGTTCAAAAATCTTACCTCTAAACGTTATCCCTTGAATCCCTCTTCAAAATAGCTCCCTCAAGCTCAAACCCGAATGAAAAATGGTGAAGAATAGCTCAAAAATTCTGAAGTCCATAATTTATATGTTCTGCCCCAGTTAAACCGCTTCTGCGGTCACAACCTTGCATATGCGGTCCCAGGTGCGCTTCTGCGCAAATCACTTAAACGTCCAATCTCCGCATCTACGATAAGATACCCGCACTTGCGCTATCGCAGGTGCGCTCACCCAACCGCTTTTACGGCTCCAGCTCTCCTTGGCCCCTTCCGCTTCTGCGGCTTATTTCCGCATCAGCGGGGGTCGCACCTACGACCTTCCAACCGCAGATACAGTTATGACAACAGTCCTAAAACTTTAACTGCCATTTCCAAATTCCTATCTTTTTGTCAACCACCCGAAATCACCCCGAGGCCACTGGACCTCAACCAAAGGCACAAACAAGTCATATACTACCTCCCAAACTTATACCAATCTTCAAAATACCTCAAACAAC